ATTGCGTTTTCATCCCTTCTGGGGATGAATAACATTACTCCAATTTAAAAAGACTCCATTCATAAAGATCTGCATTGTTAATTTGTTATATGTACTTGTGTGGAAAATTTAGGGAGCTGTTTGTTAATATTTGAATATTTGAGATTTATTTACACTTTTTACAAAGATTAAGGACTCAAAAGTAATTGTGTCTAAAATAATTGCATCTTGCGTAATGCATTACGTAAATTTTTCCACCCATTATACCTAAAAATATCACTTTCAATCCCCATCTCGTATAATATTAACCATCTTCTTTGCTTTCTCTGAATTTCATAATTTCTTTCGCACCATAAAAATTCTATAATTTACTTCTGCCCATCAGATAAAAATCATCATGTCTCAGGTACGTTTTATTTGCTTCTTAATTTTTCTTCAGGCAATTAATTGCGTTTGATTTTTATTACTTATGTTTGGTGTTGGATTTTCTGGTTTCTTATTGCCCGTAGATTTTAGATATTGTTTTGGGGAATTTTGTGTGTGATTGGTTATTTTTGGTTGGAAAATATTGAATTGGGATTTAATTCTTAAAGCTGAAAAGTAAGGAAATACATCAAATTGATGTAGTATTCTATTGAATTCTGCTAATTTGTGTTCATGTGAATAGTACTCTGACTTTTTTTTTAATTGGGAGGGATATATCTGTGCTCTTTTGGTTGCTATAGATGTATAACGCCTATTGTTTAGAGCTAAACGAATTGAGAATAATTTCGTGAACTCCTTCATTTGTTGTTCTCTTCCTTTTTGTTTTATTATCTTTGATATAAAACAAAATGAAATTATTCCTTGTGTTTCTCAAATTTGATATACCAAGTTTTCGAGAGAGAAAAGAAGTGCTGAAATGAAGAGAGGAGATTTTTTGTCTTTCTTATTGTGGATTGTATTGCAGAGCTGATGTTTCCTTTTATTATGAGAACTAAAAGATGAATTTTCCTATTGAAAGGTATTCGCAAGTATGAAACTGTTGTCTGGTTATGCTTTGTGAATGGCCTGAAATTAGTTGTGTGCTGTCATGATTCAGAGTGTCACAGTATAGCACTCTCAAAAAACATTGACTTGTATATTAATAGAGCTTGAGTGAAGGATGGATTCTGGTTTAAATATTAGACCCTGTGATTTTATGGTATGTTAATGCAAATTCATTTACATGCCTATGTTTTTTATCTTGACAACTTCAACACTCATTCGTGTTTGATTGCAGACTGTTGTCCTTAAGGTTGGCATGTCCTGCCAAGGCTGTGTTGGAGCTGTGAAGAGGGTTTTAGGAAAAATGGAAGGTTTGTGACCTTTTCCTGATATCAGCTATAATGTATTTCTTTTCTTTTCCAAGACGTCAAATCAATAGCTTTAGACTATTCGCGATATTGTCCCCTTGAAGCCAATACTAAAATGCACAGAAAAGGAAAAACAAACGAGTGCACACTTTAGCCACATTGAAACTTAGGCTTGAGGTGTAAGACTCAGTCAAGGCATAAGCCTTGATAAATTTCGCTCAAGGCGTAAGCTTCAGGGTGTTTAAAGAATGCCTCACTTGATGTACTTTTCAAGCCGTAAGCCTCAGACAGCTTTTTAAAACGATGATGCCCAGGCAATAGAGCTTGAGTGTCTTTTCGATGTTACCATTTGTGTTTTTCTTTCTTAGTATTTTTTGTTGGCTATGACCTATTGCCATACACATTGGTTAAATGTTACTTTCATGATTCTTAAGCTTCAATTGTTGTGCATCAATGACAATGGTAACCATATTTTAGGGTGTGTAAGTGTGCCAATACTCTGTGAAGATGAATGTTTTGCTAGCACTATGCTTTTTGAAGTCTATTTGTATGGTATGCGCAAGTTAAATGTGAATCAAATGTACTAGAATGACTTGTATTGACTGCTCGAATGTCCACGCATGTGCTCTCCATTAGGCTGCACATGATTATGTTTATAGTGATCGTTATATTGGTTAAAGTTCATTTACCTTTTTAGCATTTGGTTTGAAACATTATTTCATTTTAGTTGTTCAATAATCCCAGCTATGAAGAGTCTCTCCCCTTTTCTGTTGGAATTTTAAAGCTATTTTCTATTCAAATTTAAAAAGAAATGGCTATGTAAATGGCTTTTACTTGCTATAAATTCTTTCCAACCAACTCTAAGAAGGTACCTTAGTTATGTATTAGGCTTAGTTGTTGCTCTTGGCTACTGTGTTGCATGAACACTTCAATTAGGGTGACGTGTCCGTATTTGACGTGTGTCCGATACCGATACTCCTTGGACTCTTTACCATGGTCTTTTTTTTTTTTTCATTAGAAATATTATATATTTTTAACACATTTATTATTAAATAATAAATATGTACTCATATTTGAAAGATTTCAGCAATAAAAACTAATAACAAGTATAAAATTAAATTTATGCACTTTAAAGAATTTAATTAATGTGTCTATAACGTATAGTGTCAATACTTTTTTGAAAAATTGTGTCTGATACATATCCGTGTCGGTGCATCAGGTATTGCCTACTTTCTCTTCTAAAGAATTCCTGGACATATAAATTTTCTCAGCCATGTCGAACTAAAACGAACAGAAGTTCCTCTCCATTCGCTTAATAAATTGGTAGGTCAAATTTTCATAAAACCCTAGAAATTGTATTGAAATATGGCATCTTGATGAACAGGTGTTGAATCGTTTGACATTGACATGGAGCAGCAAAAAGTGACTGTGAAAGGCAATGTCCAGCCGGAGGCAGTTCTGCAGACTGTTTCAAAGACTGGGAAGGCGACTTCTTTCTGGGAAGAACCCGCTGAAGCTGTTGCATAATATTCTTATTTAGTACACGGGATAAACCAAATGCTTGTTAAGGAACTCGATTTAATAACAGTAAGAAAAATGTTGTGTGTGGGGGTGTATTTGACAAGCTTTTTATGCAAACTTGTGATGTAAACTTGTGTTATTGTCTATAAACACTTTTCAACTGCTGTCCAAAAACACATGACCTTGGTGCAGTCCCTCTTCTTTAATCTGATTGAAGTTAGCTCGATTTTGATCAAGTTTCGGCCAACTCGATTTAACATTTTAGCTTTACTTACAAGGTAAAACTAATATTAGAATATAAATTATTCTAAAAATGAATTGAAAATTTGTATTTTCAGTATTGAGGAGAATGATAGTGGAGATGTATTGGACGTTCTCCTAATGATCAACTCGAACATCCTTCTTTTACGGTGCTCAATAGGAATATTCATTATTTTACTTTATGTGCTCTAAAAATTGAGCATAGGAATATTCATTATTTTACTTTATGTGCTCTAAAAATTGAGCTAAGTATTGAAATGTAAGCGTTTGCTTGGCACAATTTATTTAAAAAATAATTTTGCATGTAAATTCATAACTTTTTCAAACTTTTTATTCAAACACTTTTAGAAAAATTGTCACTTCAAATATTTTTTCTCAAACAAACACCAAGTTCATTTCGACGAGGACTAATTTGTTTATAAACGCGTTCTACTTAAAGTTGGTGTAATTTGGACTCAATTTAACATTTACAGCTTTGGTAAATGATGAAAAATATTGGATGTAGGAGTGGAAAATCGACAGCCTTAGTCCATCGACAAGAGCCTAGTACGAGGTCCCTGTAGTTAATGTATCTTTATAAGCTAAAATTTAGAAAAGGTGTGTGACCATCCCGAGTCATGCCAAACGTTGCACTTTTTGGGGATAGACTAACTTGGTAGAGCATAGGGATTTCCATCGGAGGTTAGATCCAGGTTTTTCAAGAATTGCACTGAACATATTTTAATGAAAATTCTGTAAATGAAACTCTTGAGTTCCATGTGTACTGGTAGAGCCAAATTGGAACTGCCCAGTTCCGATTTTGATCCTCTTCAAAATACCGATTTCAAGCAATTCGTATGTGATTTTCATACTCTGAAATTTCAATTATTTCTTGACATATTTCAACATCAACGGAGGTATAGAGAAGCTCTAGTCCATATTTGGTGTAGATTAAAAGATGATACAAATTTCAAGTTAAAGTTCTTAATTAATTTTAAAAACGCATTTCAAACTTACAACTTTTGAGCAGTACATTTTATTGATTTTTATTAAAATGTATTGAAATTTTGATTTTATGATCTAATATATCCACCAAATGGGGGCCTAATATGCAAAGTTATCTTTGTTAGATTCAAATCCAATTGAAAAATTCACAAGCATCCCACGTAATTCACGAAGTTCAAACGACTCACTGTTTGATAAAGTTTCTTGATTGAGCCATTATAATATGGAAATATCAAATGAGCTATATAGGAAATGGAGGACTTAGGATCATAAACTGAAATCCCCAGGCCATTTATCATGAATACTTAAGTTGATGCTTCGACTGACTTGTTGCAAATGTTTTGAGAGAATGTTATGGTTGGAGCTCAACTTCAACCAAAACTAACTGAACTTAATCAAAATCAACATCAACAATTTAATATACTAAACTGGGATTCAATAACCCAGCTGTCATTGTATTGATTGAGTTGAAATTACACCAAAACAGCAAAATATAAATAGAAAAGAGAAACTGAAATGCAGAGAATGGTGAAGAAAGTCAGGATGAGAAGAAGAACAACCGAGAAGAAAAAGAGGAAGCAAGAGAACCAATGAAGAAGGCGGCAAAAAGGAAGAAGAATACGAAGAACAGAGAAGAATGAGAAAGAGAGGCAGGAGACTGAGAGAAGACGAGTTTGTAATCACATTCAATTCATCCATATCCCGTTTACAGAGTTTCAATACAACCTATATAGACCAAAACAATAAAGGGCTTTAGGCTAGCCCACAATAAAACAAGCCCAACTAGATAAAAGTAAATGGGCCAATATATACCAAGTTAGCCCATGACATCTATTTCCCTTAAATTAACCTTGTCTTCAAAGTCGGGATGTCTTCTTTGTATGTTGTTAGTAGCTGCCACATTCTCTTCCCACCCTTGGATTAAGCAGGTAATGCAAGAGGGGCATATGTCTCATTCATTTCATCTTCTTGGACCTGATTTTGAACTGTGTACTCTTCTGAAGCATCCTCTAGCTTTAGCCAAATTATTGGATCCGTTTCATAGAGTTCTATACCACAGTGATCATCAACATGACTGAATCGAAAATAATGTACACTAGGCAGCATAAGAAGCAATGCGCTCAGAGCTTTCTCCACACGATCAACACAGTACGCATTCCCAATCAAAACTTGTCCAGTGTCTAAATAATGCCAACCACCCCTATGAACTTTGGTTGGAATGGACCCGCACCAAATTGAAACTAAGAAATCAATTTTAGCATGATGCCACAATAGTTGTGCTTCTTGTACGGTAAAATTAATAGGATTATTTGCTACAATAGCACCATCTTGCCGGTGATATACACCACCAGTGTAATCATCTAGATAATCTGACGATGTAGATGATGCTCTTATAGCTTGCCATATGTGATGATTACAACTCTCAATGGAAGCACCAATGGGATTTTTGATACCACTTTCTGTATGAGGATTGGCAAGGAATTTTTCTATGCAATAATCAAGTTTCATTCCATTGAAAGTGTCCGCACCAATTCCGACACATGTTGACTGTCTAAGGTTGACGACAGTAGTTTGAAAAATCGCTTCATAAGTTAGTGTGCCAGATCGTGAGATAATTTCAATATGTCCTGGTTTGTAAATGTATTCAGGCATAATTCCATTCTTACACTCCCCAGGCTTGATAATTCTACGATAGTTTGGACCTATGAGCTGAGTTTTTGACTGCTTGTTGAGAGAAGCCTTGACAATAACCATGCCATGCTGAGGGATTCTCTCAGTGATGCAAATAGCCAAATCTACCTTAGCCTCCAGAATAATTTTAGCCTTAAAAGGGGAAGGAACACAAATTACTGTTGCACTAACCTTTGTTTTAGCTTTTGCCTTCAGAACTTCATCTCCATTGTACTCCAGTAGTCGTTCAAGTGGAGCTTCCCTAGAAAAAATCACATTCCCATTGCTTTCCCCCTCAACCTTCGATGTAATTACAACTTCAGTCTCATTTTCATGATAAATACCACTACTAAGAGTTGGATCTCCAGTTTCTTCATTTACCATTTCCATGTCTTCTTCCTTAACATTTTTTTCAGCAAATCGTCTACAAACCTCACTTGAAAACATGTCCTAATCAGTATTGAGATGGTTGAAGATGAAGCCATAAAACCATATGTACGCTTTCCCCTTCAAATACATCTCAACTATTCCTACCCTCATTTCATTAGCTACTTGATGTATCTGGAAATATTTTTGGGCTTCCCTAAACCATTCTTTAGGTTCTTCTCCATTAAAATAAGGGAAATCAATTTTAGGAAGTCTACCACTTCCCTTAAATTCACCTCTAGCATGAGCATCATTTTCATTACTACTATTACCTTGTGTACAAATCACACTCACGAACCTCCAATTATTAATCGACCCTTCTATCCCTTTGTTCTTATATTCTGTATTTAGATCTTAAGACATTTGGGCCATTATATTCTTATAATCACTACCCGGAACTATTACATTCTCTGCACTGAAGTTTTCTTCATCCTTCTCAACACCTAAATCAAATTCCAACTTTTCAAAACTACTCTCCACAATAGTTTCCGTCTCAACAACAGGCTTGGTAACTACAACAACTAAATCATCATCTCTGTTCAAATTGTAGAACTGATCTGCTTTACCAGTTTCTCTTCCAGTATAGAATCTGAATCGTCCATTTGCATTTCAGAAGACTCGGCTATTTTTGGGTCATGGTTAGACTGGTCTTTGGAGGCTAATTTAGCCTCAATAATATCAATCATCATGGAAATCAGTAGCTCATGCTTCTGATTGATTTCTTCCATTATGCTATCCAATCGAGAGACACCCAGGGACTGTAGCTGCTTTGATACCATTTGTCACGGTTGGACTCCAAATTCAGCTCCTC